TAAGAGTCAACCAATCCGAATGTTTTATTCACTGATTGCTTTACTCTGATTGGTTGTCGTAATCACTTACAACCACTTACATTCACGTTCACGCAATTGTAGAATGGGCTTTAAGCTCATTCTGCAATTGCGTGAACGTGGATGTAAGTGGTTGTAAGTGATTACGACAACCAATCAGAGTAAAGCAATCAGTGAATAAAACATTCGGATTGGTTGACTCTTACGTTCACGACTACGCTTACGCAATTGTAGAATGGGCTTTAAGCATCTTCTACAATGGCAGTAGGAGTAGTAGTAAGAAATAAGCAGTAAGTAAATAGACTAATCACAATCGATTATTTTTGAAACGTGAGAATGGAATTAGTCAATTTGCTTACTGCTTATTTCTTACTACTACTCCTACTGCCATTGTAGAAGACGCTTTAGACCCGATCTACAATAGATGGAGTAAGAAATAAGCAGTAAGTAAACAGACCAATCACAATCGATTATTTTTGAAACGTGGGAATGGAATTAATCAATTTGCTTACTTATAGCGAATTCGGTTGCTTGCACTAGTGTGCACTGAGTGCGCACTAAGGCTTGTTCATAGTATGTTATTATATTTAAAGATTGTCTTAAATAATTCTCAAATAAATCCTCAAATATTTTTAACCATAATATGATATGTATAACATCTGTACGAATCATTTTATTAGTTAAAATGTTTTTAAATATGTATTTAAGACACGATCTTAAATATAAGAATGTACTGTAAACAAGCCTTAATGCGAACTCAGTGCGCACTAGTGCAAGCTACCGAATTCGCTATTATTGTCATAATTTATTGCACTAGTTCAGCAGAGCAGCCGAAAAGAACAGACCAAGAAGTACACAATAATTGCTCCTACACACAGGACGCGGTAATGCTTGTCGCGCGGTGGAAGTTCGCGCGACAGCCAATCAATATGCTGCTTTCCGTAATAACCTTTTAGCTCTTACGGAAAATCAATATATTGATTGGCTGTCGCGTGGACTTCCGTCGCGCAGCAAGCATTACCGCGTCTTGTGTGCAGGAGCTATAACAGTACTCTACAAATGGTGAGATATTGTTATGTATGTAAACAAAAACAAGCTAAGAACGAAGATCTTAGCTTACATAAGTAAGTTAAAGACGTGAAAAAACTTCAATGTTCAATGCAGTTTATGTCTTTAGAATTATATTATTTGCATTAACTATAATAATCCTTCTAGATTTCCAAAGAATCCAGTGATTTGTGCAAAATGGAAAAAATTTTGTCGTTTGACAGAAGAGGATGATATCAGTCCACTATATATTTGCTCTTCTCATTTCTGCCCGGAAGATTTCCGGGTTCATAGATCAACATTACGTGCAAAAAGGCATGTATTGAATGCAGAAGCAATCCCGTTAATTCGTTTAACAAGTCGAAAATGGCAAAGTTTGTTTGGGAAGAATAAAAAATATGTGAAATCAAAAATAAATTTACAAGCTGTATCCTCGAATGAAAAAAGTGAATCGGCAGATGTCAGGCCACAAAATGATAATTATTTATCAGTGAACGTGCTTGCAAATGAATCACGTAAGTGCACATATATTAATGAATGCAATGTATTGTTCTATTTGCATTAAAAATTACTATTCCAATGAAAGCGAAAAACATAATAATAATTTTTATATATTTTCAGTTTTTAATGTAATATATGTTAATGTATTATAAAATAATTATTATACTAAATCTTATAGATTCTTTTTACAATTATGTCAAACACGTACAAAAGGACAATATATAGAAACTTTATACATTTCAGAATTGCAATCAGAAATTCCAAACGATTGTGATGAAAATATGAAACCACAAATTAATGTGCCATTCCGAAACTTGAGTGTTCAAATTGAGACAGTGAAAGTTATCAGTCCGCTACAAGATAACTCGTTTTCACAGAATGTTGTGCGAAATGTATTAAGTAAGTTATATTATTAATATATCTTACCTGTCAGTTATGTTGCAGTAACATACTTATATATATATTTATTAATATTTATATCTTATAATAACTGAAAATTATAAGCGTTTTGCTTACAAATGTCACAATCTAAGAATATGCAATATTTTTTTTCTGTTCAGATTCTGCCAATGATTTATATGTGACACCCAAAAGACGATATGCAGAACCTCGCTATATATCTGAAATTATGACATCTGATGTAAAAACTCCTAGAAGAGCTAGTCGAATTTTAAAATTTGTTAAAAATAACGACATGAAACGACGAGAACACATTAGAAAGCTACAGAAAATAAACAGAAACCTTATGAAACGCATCAAGTCTCTGGAAAATGTGGTCTCTCATTTAAAAAATAAACAATTAATATCTGAAGGTGTTGCAGATTTTTTGGTACAGTACTGTGTGAACTAATTCATTATTGTCAGTGTTATACATGCAATGTTCGTTATTATCAATGACTAATGTAAATTGAATAGACATATATATATATATATATATTTGTGTGTGTGTGTGTATGCAAAATGCAAATATACTAAACGTATATACTAGACATAAAGGCTGTCTGTCCAGAATATTTCAACGATTATAAAAAAGTATAATATAGAAAAAAGTTAACTTATTAACAATTATTGGACTTAGTACATATATATTTCATTGCATGAAGTAACAAATTTGTAATTAAATTATTCATTACATTTGTACAAACAATAATACAATTTGATTGAAAATTATTGCTAATAAATATAAAAATTTAATACTGCTTCATTGAGAAATAATCTCATTAAAATATTTCATTTGTACTTATCATATATTTTCTTCCTTATTTCATAGTAATTATACATACTGTTAATAATAATTAAATATATTTTTAATAGTTCACATTATATTAGAATAAATATTATTTAATAACTTATAATAATGTTCATTGTCATACTTTATACTACTATCATATGTAATAATATAATAATATTGCAAGACTTAATATTTAATACATTAATGTATGTATAATAATATTTATTTTATATATACTACAATACAATATTTCTTAAGATATTAATAGCTATACAGAAAGTTACATATATACTCGGGAAAATAATTTTCCATATATAATCATATAATTATATCTAAATATATATAATTATATATGATTATAATATTATATATAACATATAAAATTTCTTCAAAATTATCACGTTCTATATGTATAATTCAATAGAATTATTAATGTATTGTAACGCTGCACTCGCGGCTCGTGCAGCCGGTTTACTAATCGGGTGCAGCGACAAAATATTCGCTTTTCGGCGATCGTTTGGGAGCTTCGACGAGACCCGACAGCTCAAAAGATGGAACACTAAGTGGGCGCCAAGTACGGCGGTTCGTACCCACTAAAGAAGTCGAAACGCTAACTCTAATCGATGGTCTCGCCGACGAGGGCCACTCGCCCTCCGCCCGAACGGCTCGCACTGGCTCACACGAACGACCGGCAGCTCAGCCCTGCTCTCGGTAGAGGGGCTGGTTCCTCGACAAGGCGGAGGTGTTAAAGCGTTTGGCGGTTATGAAAATAATCAGATGAGGATACTATACATTCGAATTTTTATTCAGCGGTAGCAATTTACAGACGGTTGGTATTTGTCGGCAGCGACAATACGATAATAAAATAGCGAAATATTCTGTCCGCTATTCGGCAGCGGTTCTCAATAATGACAATACAAATATCCCTGTTCGCGGTCGCGAGGGAGTGGTGCACTTGGACACGGTGCATTTGGACACAGCCAATCACAGCACCGTATGATTAGAGACATTTGTAGGGTCCCTTGGAACAACGACTTGTGATTGGACTGTGTCCAATTGCCCCGTGTCCAACTGATATACACCCGGTCGCGATGCTGGTCTTCGGCAGCTCTAATTCCCGAGTAGTGACCTCGAAGGTCACGACAGCCACGTAGGCTTTCGGCGGTACGCTCGCCCGGTATCTCGCGTACGGCGGATAGTCGGCAGTTATTCGGTCGGGCTTTCACACAATACGCGGAGCTCCTCCTTTCGCGAGAGGAACGCAAACCCTGGCCCTCGCCCAGGGTGGATGGCCGAGCCCCAGCTCCCCGACGCCGCACCGCTCCGCGACACCAATCATTAAAAATAGTCTATTCGTTCCTTCTGGAACGGACTCACCAAAAAACAGCGGAGCGGGGCAGTCGGCAGCAAGCAACGGCAGTCCCCTCTGGGTTCACACTAAAATTCGTGCCCGCGCGGTAGCGGCCTGGGAGCGGTGCACTTGGACACGGTGCATTTGGACACAGCCAATCACAGCACCGTGTGATTAGAGACATTTGTAGGGTTCCTTGGAACAGCGACTTGTGATTGGACTGTGTCCAACTGATATACACCCTAGCGGCCTTACGGATGCGGAGATCGAATCGTCGTCTGTCGTCAGCTTTGTGGATGGCACGTCCTTCACAATTCGTGTTCACGGCTAACGGAAAAAGCTCCTGAGCGATCGTTGGGACCTGGTTTTATCCCAGGTTCCAATCGCTTGCTCCGACAGCTATCGGCCGTTGATTGGCCGATTTGCAGGATCGAATCCCCCATTTTTCGGTCTTTGTTTTTCGGTAACTGTTGTAGTCTTCCATTTGATCCTTTCCAGCCTGTTGACCTCTCCGACCTTGGA